CTTAAAACATCCATATGGTTAGCATCGTTTATATACTAGTCACCAAACTATCAGCATAGTGTTTTGAACTTCTTACTGTTACTTCCTGCTTGCTTATGACCATATTTATGTATTTATACATTTAACAAATGTTTTGTTGTAGGCAGTAAGGATATAGTAGTAAACCAGACAAAGTCCCTGATGGAGAAAAATAAGCAATAAATGAAAATATATATTATTTAATATCTCAGAAGTGAAAAGTACAATAAAGGAAAATAGAATAATGGGCTAAAGAGTAATGGGAGTGGGTTAACTATATTAAGTAAAGTGTTCCATAAAGGGCTCCTTTACTAAGATAACCTTGGAACAGAAACCTAAATGAAGTGAGGGCATAAGCCATGGAAGTAGCAGGCAGGTGAGTTTTTGAAGCAGAGGCAGCAGCATGTGTAAAAGCCCTGCAATGGGGATGTTCTTGGCACCTTCAAGAAAGTACTAGGAGATCATTAGGACTAGCAGGGTGAACAAAGAGGAGAGTGGTAGGAAAGGAAGTCTGAGAGGTATTGGGATCAGATCATGTAAGGCCTTAAAGGACAGTTGTGAGCAGAAGGTGATCTGGTTTATGTTTGAAAGAATCACTTTGGATACATGTGGGCGAATCAGTGACTTTCAAACGTTTGGGTGAATGCGGCCCCATCTCCAGCAAGGAATACATATTACATCATGGCCCAATTCCACCTTATTCTTCTTTCAGTTAATTGAATGGTAATATTCTCTCCAACTTAATAGAGTTTCCTTGTAATATAACAAAAGGATTCTTACCAAGTTGTTGCCCAAGAAATGCTGCCCAGGTGACATGTTGTAAATGCAGTAAGCTGAAGACTGAGATACTATTTCCCGAAGGCTCAGCATACATGATCCCTAACTCTGAGACTTGCCAAATTTTAGAGAAGTTCAGGACTTTCATGTGGGATCAGGTCAACACTAGAATACTATTAAAAACAATAATGGACCCTCCTTTTCAGTCCATTGATACCCTGGGGAATGGAGGCAAGTAATGCGAATCTAGCTGTCCTTAATCTTGACAGCCTCCAGATGGAAAGCTGGCTCCAGGAGAAGAGTGGTCTAGGGGTATGGTGGGCTCTGGACGTTAGCACAGGGAATCTCTCAGCAGAGATTGGCTTACTGCAGCCAGTCCCCATAGTGGCTACTTGTGAAGTGACTGCATACATACCACACATTCCTTCTATGTTAAGAGAGCCACTGTTAAAGAAATAAAAAGTTTAACAAGAGACTCACAGATAAAAATATGCCATGAGACCTTTACTGTCTAAAACTCTTTAAGATATTGTTTTGAAGTATTAGTCTAGTAGTAAATTGCAAAGAATGAAAAATGGCAGACCTGTAATATATGGTCCTTTCAGGTAGACTAAAGATTTGATACCAAGAATAGGTTTGATCTTTTTTTCTTTCCAAAAATAATGGTGTTGGTAGATGATATAGAAGGATGAGGTTGATATCCAGAGCATAGAAGATGGGCAATGTAACAAAAACTCTTCAGATTCTAGTTTAATTAAGTATAATTTTATTAACATAAATGTATTCTACCTCTGTTTTATTTTAAAGAGGGGCTTGGGGGGTATAATTATATCCATGTTTTTCAGAAGAATGTTGGCAATATAGCAGTTAAAATCTGTGCCAAGTTTAATATTAAATAAAAATACCCCTGGAAATTTTATTTTCCTGTGGCCATTACCCTTCTGCACAGAATAAATATTTGTTAAAACATTTGTTAGATATTATGGTCCATGTTACTGTAATAGGATATAAATTATGTGTATGTGTATGTATAGCTGTAGATATAAATATATATGTAAAGACATAGATAAATGGTAGTACCCAATACTTAAAAACCTATTGCTGTCGAGTCAATTGCAACTCATAGCGACCAATAGGACAGAGTAGAACTACCCCATAGGGTTTCCAAGGAGCGGCTGGTGGATTCGAATTGCTGACCTTTTGGTTAGCAGCCAGTCTCTTAACCACTGTGCCACCAAGGCTCCACCCAATACTTAGACCACTGTAATTATTGAGTAATTTAAATGTTAATTATTAAATGTTTTTAAACTCTCTAATTTTTATTTCCAAGTATAAAAATGTTAGATTTATATGGTATATCCACACAATGGAATACTACGCAACGATAAAAAACAACGATGAAGCTGTGAAACATCTTATAACATGGAGGAAGCTGGAGGGCATCATGCTGAGTGAATTTAGTCAGTCAAAGAAGGATAAATATTGCATAAGACCACTACTATAAGAACTCAAGAAAAGGTTTAAACACAGAAGAAAACATTCTTTGATGATTATGAGGGTGGGGAGGGAGGGTGAGGGTTATTCACTAACTAGATAGTAGACAAGAATTATCTTAGGTGAAGGGAAGGACAGCACACATTACAGGGGAAGTCAGCACAACTGGACTAAACCAAAGCTAAGAAGTTTCCCGAATACAGTCAAACACTTCGAGGGACAGAATAGCAGGGGTGGGGGTCTGGGGACCATGCTTTCAGGGGGCATATAGGTCAATTGGCATAACAAAGCTTATGAAGAAAATGTTCTACATCCTACTTTGGTGAGTGGTGTCTGGGGTCTTAAAAGCTTGCAAGTGGCCATCTAAGATGCATCAATTGTTCCCAGCCACCTGGAGTAAAGGAGAATGAAGAACACCAAAGATACAAGGAAAGTATTAGCCCAAGAGACAGAAAGGACCACATAAACCAGAGACTTCATCAGCCTGAGACCAGAAGAACTAGATGGTGCCCAGCTACCACCAATGACTGCCCTGACAGGGAACACAACAGAGACCCCCAGAGAGCAGGAGAAAGGTGGGGTGCAGAACTCAAATTCTAGTAAAAAGACCAGACTTAATGGTCTGAGACTGGAGGAACCCTGGAAAGCATGGCCCCCAGATTCTCTATCAGCCCAGAACTAAAACAATTCCCAAGGTCAACTCTTCAGACAGAGATTGGACTGGACTGTGGGACATAAAATGATACTTGTGAAGAGTGTGCTTCTTAGCTCAAGTAGATAGATACATGAGACTGAACAGGAAGCTTCTGTCCGGAGGTGAGATGGGAAGGCAGAGAGAGTTAGGAGCTGGTTGAATGGATGTGGGAAATCAGAGGTGGAAAGGAGGAGTGTGCTGTCACAGTATAGGGAGAGTAATTAGGGTCACATAACAATGTATGTATAAATTTTTGTATGAGCAACTAACTTGAAATGTAAACTTTCACTTAAACTACAACAATAAGCAAACAAAAACTTAGATTTAGAATGTAGATTGCCTCTTCTATACTGAGTTGGCATCAACTCAAAGGCAATGGGTTTGGTTTTGAGTACTGAAGTAGAATAATATGATGCTCTGGACAGGAAAAACTTTGAGAAACTTAACTTTTTACTAAACATTAACTAGTGGCAAAAGCTTCATATGTTTCAGGACTATTTTGTACACTTACTTCCCTCAAGCCAATATACAAAGAGGGCAGCCCCATCCTGAGCACAGCAAAACCTAGCAGGACATTTCAAAGTAGTGCCTTCCTTGTGACAAAAGTGAAGCATTAATATTTCAGTAAAGGAGAGAGAGTTGGTGATTGGGTGACGCTTAGGGATAGGACAAAGTATTTTTTGTTCACATTACATGATAGTAAGTAACAAATAAAACAAAAACTTAACAGTTTATGTTCTAAACTTGTGAAATATGTATTAATGTCATAATGTCTGCTAATGCCAGCATGGCTTGTCAAAATGCTCATATTGAAACACTCGCTCTGTTTCTTTCTCGCTCACGCTCTTTCCCTCCCATCCTCCCAGAATTTCAGAAATGCATTCCTGTGCCCTAGTAGATTTTTAATGTATATCTATCTCAAGAAAACATTAGAAAAATATTTTTTTTGTCATCTGCTTTACCTACCACTCCCTGTTTTTAGAAAATAATAACGAAAAATTAAGTTTGTAGTATGGACCAAAAGGGAAAAAGTGAAGGAATATGTAGTAGTATTGATGCAAAGCCTTCATAAATATTTAGGACAGGCTGCTTGTTCATCCAGGCAATTAGCACTGAGAAAGTAGGACTAAGTAATGGGAAGGAATACTGGAAACTCTTTGAGAATATAAAATCAAACCTGGTTTACACGTCTAGTAGTTATCATCCTTACCTTCCCAGATCCTAGCCATATGAATATAAAATCAGTATGACAGAGAATAAATTGGAATTCAGATACCTAATCCAGTCATAAAAACTAATATAAAAATAAGAAAAATATTACAAATAAATAAATCAACCTCTTAAAACCTTCAAAGTATCCTCCCTAAACTCTATTTTTATGTAATGCAACATAAGCACGAAATATGCTTATTCATACTGCATATAGTCATGGCTGTCATTTAGATAAACTGGTAAATGTAGAAAATCCAGGGAGTTAGCAGGATAGCTTTTTTCTGGTGGATAGCTTTCTAGTTTCATTGTAAATTACTGATACGAACTTAAGCATAAAATTTATGTAACTATTTTATGATTGTTCCTTAATACTATAATAAACCATAAGAACATAATTAGATTGAATATGTAGGCCCTTTTATATTTTCCATTTCTGTTCAAATAAAAATATTTGCATCATAGTCACTGTAGCAAAACTGTGTTTTCATATTTAATCCTTTTGTATTTGGTCCTCATTTCTCATTTCAAAAACACAAGGATGTTTGCAATTATGAAGTTGTTTTCTATTGAAAATAATTATCAACAGGCCTAAGTGGTATACTACATTATATTTGTTTCTGTCGATTCTAAGAATTACTAAAATGAAACATTTTGGAAAAATCGGAATACATTTACTATAGATTTATTCATTGAAAAATATGCCAGAACTGGCTTTAATCTTTGAAATGTGTTGTAGTGCACTTCCATGCGGGTCATCTCACCTGCTTTTTTGTTTTTGTTGTTGTTGTTAAAATGTTCAATTCAGGTTCTACATGGTCAGCTATTACGAGCGGAATCACAGAATAGCAGTTGGAGCTCGCCATGGTTCAGTGGCCCTGTACGACATCCGGACTGGAAAATGCCAGGTAAATAAATCATTGTGACTTCCGCTCCATAAAGTGTGGAAGTTATTGAAAGGAGAGAGAGACTTAGCACTTCACCAGTTGACATGCTGAGCTGCTGGAACATTATGGATAATGCTAAAGGGATCAATAGTTTAATGAAGGACTCAAAGAATATAGAGCCCTACTGTCTTTATTCACTGGGACTGAAGGGCTGCCCCAGATGGGTTAATAACAGAGCCCAGAATGAGGGGTTCCTGCTCACAAACTACTTTGCAGTAAATCTTATCCTTTTTTTAAACAAAGTTTTCTGATTTTCTTATTTTTGTTGTGTGTTTTCTGAATAAAGTTTGATGATGCATTATTATGATATAATGGTGAACAAGAACTAATTTTCTGACTACTGATTAAAGTGAGATATTTAGCAATTACAGACAATCATCTAGTCAGAGTTAATAAAAAAGGAGAAATCTTCACAATAGCATTTGTTGTGGCTCTATGAAAAATGAAATTGATGTTCTATTTGAAATCAGAATAATATATTGCTTTTATAACACTTTATTGTTTATAAAAATTTATTCTATAGTTTTGTCACTTGATTTTCAAAATATACCAGTTATGTGGACAGGGCAAGTCTTATCCCCACTTTAGATACAAGGAAACCGAAACTTAGATACTTTAAATCTCTTTTTCCCAGTGTCACACTGCTAGTTAATAGCAAACCTAAGTCTAGGCTCTACTGTGATCATGGAAAATTGGTAATGCTCATTGGTAAATAGTTCCAAGTCATGACTTCTTATGTTTCATTGCAGCATTCATTAATGCTGGTATGTTCAACTGTATGATCGTGAGGGAATATGAGGAAATTCATAAGCCTGTGGCTAAAATTTTAAACTGTCTTATAAATTTCATAAACTATTAATTAATTTTCCAAAAACTTCCCAGACTGCTTTCCATGAAATAGTTCTAAGAGATGGTAATAGTTGTTGTGGCTAAAAGGGGGTCAGACATGTTTAGGGGATACCGTTAGAATGATCAACACATTTCTTTATTGCAGGTCTTCTCAGAATCTCTGATAGTTCAGTGTGCATTTCTCAGGAGAGCATAGAAGATGTACTATCTGCCATACATATTTAACTATTGAATTGTGTTCATGTGTGTGATGTTATTTAAGACATTAACTGTGTTCCTTTCTATGAACTCTCAGAGCAAAGAAACCACTTTACATACTTGTTTAAAGATTAAGTTGCATGTTGTTTATAATATTCTCGTAAGAGAGACAGCATTTTCAGACCTTTTGTTAAGATGGTTTATAAAAATTGAAGTGTATTACTACTAACAGGCTTGAGAGAAATGAACTGCAAACACCTATTAGGGAAAGATTAAAAAAAAAAAAGTACAAGGGAACCTTTTCAAGCTTCTTTAAAAATAAGGGGGGAAGATCATAGAGAGGACTCTTCTTGTCATACAAGACACAGTTGCCACCTGTAGAGAGAAAAGTGAGGCACTTATGAGCACAGTAAGAGAACAACAGCAATTAAGAATTAATGAGAAGTACCAAATTGTACTTAAGTATACGGTCACTGTGAGTCAGCATCGACTCAGTGGCAATGAGTTTGGTCTTGGGGTTTTTATGCATTTCTGTAAATTTTTCTCCCTACTAAGTGGCCTCAGTGAAGCGTCTTGGGAATATGTATAAAAAGTTAATATTTTAATACCTTATTCTTTTCGATTAAATTACTTGAGATACACTTACTAATCAAAGACATTCTTAACATAAACTTATTTATATGCCACTTTCTTTTCTGTATATCATTTAGTTCAGGTAGACATTTTAGTATCCTGCTGCTTTTTTCTGCTTCAGCTTCTTAATTTTGACACCACATAATTATCATTAGTGTTATATGGTTGAATAGTCTTTACCTACCAGTTTTATATGAAAGAAGTTCACCCTTTCCTCTCATCATTCAGAACTTGAAAACAAATCTAAATCTCCACAATCAATCTTGAACTGCTTTTGCCAGTTACCAGTTATATCCAGGGAACTCTTAAGGGATTCTTTTCTTTTATGGTATTGTTGTTGTTAGTTACTGTCGAGTTGGCTCTGACTCATGGCGACCCCATGTACAACCGAATGAAATGTTGCCCAGTCCCGCACCATCTTCAGTCACTGGTATGCTCAAGTCCATTGTTGCATCCACTGTGTATTTTGAGTGCCTTCTAACCTAGGGGGCTCATCTTCCAGCACTATATTAGACAATCTTCTGTTGCGATACATAGAGTTTTCATTGACTAATTTTCTAAAGTAGACTGCCAGGTCTTTCTTCCCTAGTCTATCTTAGTCTAGAAGCTCCACTGAAATCTGCCCACCATGGGTGACACTGCTGTTATTTGAAATACTGGTGGCATAGCTTCCAGCATCATAGCAACAACCAAACTACTACAGTATGACAAACTGACAGACTGATGGTGGTTTATAGTATTAGTGTTGTATTATTTGAAATGAGTAAGTCCACAGCTGAAACAAAATACACAAGTATAGTTGGCATTCCTAAGCAAGAAATGTTTTAGAGGATGAATCAAAGGATCATTATTGAACTAGGAATGCACATCTCCAAGAACCTGTTGGAATCAGTTAACAGAGAGAATGTGACAAGCTTCCTAGCATGAGCAAAGACACAAGGATATGACATAAAAAATGTAGAAGAGATAATAAGCAAATTCAGTTGACCTTAGGGTAGGGACTTTGACTTTAGAGGGAGTCACACTGCTAGGAAAATCTACTGTGGCCTATCCAGGGGGCTGAGAGGAGCCCAAAGAGGAGAAGATCCACGGGACACAGGGAAAGCAGAAGACACATGGCTGAGGGAGTGAAGGAAGGACATGTGTGCCCCCTGTCATTGTTATTAGATTGGTTGGGAAAGGATTGAACAGAAAAATGAAGTCTTTCTCTTCTTGCGTTGGCTTCTCGCATGTTTTTTTTTTTTTTTTTTAAATCAGTTATCTTTAGGCCTGTTCTTCCCAAACTAGAATAGGAGAATAGGCAAAACTATAGGATAAATATCGCGTATCTAGCTGTTAAAAAGCAAAAATGTCACTTTGAGGACTAAGGTGCGCCTGACCCAAGCCATGGTATTTCCAGTCGCCTCATATGTGTGCAAAAGCTGGACAGTCAGTAAGGAAGACCGAAGAAGAATTAATTGATGGCTTTAAATTATAGTGTTGGCAAAGAATATTGAATATACCACAGACTGCCAGAAGAACAAACGAATCTGTCTTGGAAGAAGTACAGCCAGACTGCTCCTTAGAAGCGAAGATGGCAAGACTTCTTCTTATGTACTTTGAACCTGTTATCAGGAGGAACCAACCCCTGGAGAAAGACATCATGCTTGGTAAAGTAGCGGGTCACCGACAAAGAGGAAGATCCTCAACGAGATGGATTGACACAGTGGCTGCAACAATGGGCTGAAACATAGCAAAGATTGTGAGAATGTCGCAGGACCAGGCAGTGTTTCATTCAGGGTTGGTGTGAGTCAAAACCAACACTACGGCACCTAACAACAACATCTAGAACATGAATTTTGTTTGTATCAGGGATCTGCAAACTGTGGTCCAAATCTGGCCTGCCCCGTTTCAGTAAATAAAATTATTTTGGAACACAGCCAATGTAATTTGCTTAGGTACCATCTAGGACTGTTCTTACACTACAGTGGCCAAATCGAGTAGTTGTGCCAGCAAAGACTGTATGTGGTCCACAAAACCTAAAATATTTAATATATGGCTCATTCCAGAAAACGTTTACTGCCTCCTGACTTAGATAATTGAGCAGAAAGGGTTAACTAATTTAACTGAAAAGTAATTTAAAACATTACAGTGCAATATAATGGATCAGAAGAACCAGGAACTTCTGTTGGCTTGAATCCCATCTCCACCACTTATTAACTTTATAGCCTTGGGAAAATTTCTTCACTTCTCTGAGCTGAAGTTGCCTCATCTGTAAAATGGTGATAGAAATCATGCCTATTCCTGTGAGAAGTAAATAAGATAATTTATGTAAAATTCTTAGCACAATGCCTGCCAAGTAGTTAAACTTGGAAATACATTACATTACAGTTCAATTACATTAATTTTAGAGAATTTTAAAGATGAAACTTGAGACAGTGGGGGTATTGGTAAACCCTCAGGGACAGGAGTTTGCGCTCCTCAGTTGGGAGCACTGAGGTGGAAAAGCTGGTACAGCACTGCCTTAGGCCGTGTGGAGATTTCCTTTCTGAAGGCAGCTCTTGCCTGTGGTGTTACACTGAGTCTCCACTGAGTATGGAAATCGGAAACTTTTATATTCAGTAGTTAAAATTCCTCTGTGACGCTGACTGCATTTTTACTTGGCAATTGCTAGCAATTTAGGAATATACCCGACTTGAATTTTGCTTAATTAAATTTTAAAAAAGTACCTCCCCATGAAGTGCTTAGATTTTGTTGATGGGCAGTGCTCTTGATAAGCAAACTAAGTTCCATGAATCCTTAGAGCTACAGATATGTGTTTGCTTAAACCAGCAATGAAAATCCTCCCTCCAGCAATATTTGCCGTTGGTTTGGCGGACTACTAAACTATCATATCTCAGTGATTTTCTGATCCTTTCTGAATGCATTCTTTGTCATACTGCTGGCTATGTGCAAGATTCTCTAAGGCTCCTGTGTGCTAGTTTTCCTTATGAAGTTCTGTGTCACTTGGAGGTGTTAGATCCATTTTGGCAAATCTGGACATGTATTTTCCTACCAGGCTTTGGTCTAGTGCTACAAAAAGAGCAATGATGTATGAGAGAAAGATAGCATGACTAAAGACTTCTCTAAATCATGATTTATTAAAATAACTATATTATTGAAAATTTAAAATAAATTCCTTAAAGGACTTGTTCTTTTTGTTTGTTTTTGAAGTATTGTGTTTAGTTTATGATGCCATTT